AAGTACAACAGAAAATGCCCCAGAACTTGAATGTTACAAGACAGCACACTTGATTATGTCATAAGTGATAGTGAAGGCCTTTTTGACCCTCTAAAAGGTCAAAATGTGATTCAAAGACTGAAAAATTGACTTTTTTTTAATTAAATTCCAACATCCCAAGAATTGGGAGAATTTACCAAGAAGCACAGTAGTTTTGCCTTGTGTGGCAAAAGCAGACACCTTAGAATTAACACTGTGGTACAAAATTTTGTAAGAAATACTCCAGTCAAGCTGAATCACGGTCATGACTTCTGATCATGGAATCTGAGGACTTGATTCCCTTGCTTGCATTCCCCTCCTGAAGATTAATAAAGCAAAAATTATGGCTCAGGATTTTATCAAGCGTCTGCTGGGACAAATGTTTTTTCTTCATGCATACCATCTGTGGTTTTGGCCATGTCCAAGCACTGGCAATTGTTAGTAGCTGGAAATCAGAAAAAGTAGAAGCAGGTTTGTGCTCCAAGGTTTTACAGAAAAGTGATTTGAAGAATTGTCTGATATGTGGCATTCATATTCAGAAATGTATCAGCTCTCAAAGCTGGGCTCTTCCTTCTGAGTACTGGTTTTTATATGAATCCTGGATCACTTTTTAGCATCCACTGCCTCCTATTGATGCTTCTCCAAACAAATGCCCAGACACAGCTACACACCATGGAAAATCTGACCACYTCTTCTTCATCATAAATATATTTTTATAATACATATGATATATTCATCACAGATTGCCAATATCACTGAATGTGACAGGCTTTGATGGCTGAACCAGGGCACATCACTCAGCATAAAATTCAGCTTGAGACAAACTTACTTCAAATAAACCAAAAACATCCCACCCTTGAKGGGTATTGCACAGCTGCTCAGACACAGCAACCTAAGAATCATCACCAGTTCAGGACTGAACAGAAAAACTGTGAAAACAACCACATTTTGAAGCAATTAGTGTCATTAGTTTCAAATTTCAAAAGGAACAAGAGAAGGTGCTTGTGAGCAGGTGACCAAAATTAACAGAAAGATGAACTGCAGAACAACACAAAAGAAACTTTATCCACACCTGKGTCTGGATATCATCTCCTGTAACAATGTTCCCAACAGCTCGTAAGGCAGGAGATACAACTTTGTAGTCATTGTGCCTAAAATTGACAAAGAAAAATATAAATATTTACCTTCCTGAAGCATTTCAATCTCTGCATTCTCAAAAAAGGAACATSTATCAGCCAGGGGAAAACTTCCCTGATAAATCTGACTTTCCAAATATTTCCAGATAAATACCCTGATTTTAAACTAATGGTAAGGCTTTCTAGGATTTCCAAATATTTAGATCTTTAGGTGACATTCAGCAGCATAAAAAAATACTAAAAGAATGAAAGTACTTAAGAGTACTTCCAAGCATCCTTGGGAAGAAAAAGTAATCAACTTTAACTATAAAATTTACTTAATGAAGCACACACAAAGGCTGAGAATAAGACAGAAGAACAGGAATAGAAGTTTAACCCTGTGTGTTTAACCCACAGAGCTGTTCAATCATTTTCCATCATCATATGCATCCCTGCATCTACAGTAAGGGTTGAGAAAATTATTTATATTTCAAATCCTTGGTACTATCAATTCTAGGAAATTGAACTATTTCTTATAGTTTTATCTTTGATATCCTWAGGTAACTTCCTTGTTAGGTAACTATAATATGGACTTCAATGGTACAGGGAAAAATCCAATGTATATTATGGTTTTAATAAAAATGTAGTTAGGCATAGGAAAAAAGCCAATCCAGTACAAAGTCCCATTGTTTTGTTACTCATGACAAATAGAGAACACTGAGCAGACAGGTAAAATTCAAATTCAAACCTTGCTCTTTAGAAATTACAACATTTCAAGACTTATTTAATTACACTTCCTATTGTTATAATCTTGATTTCAGGGAAATCAAGGAAAGGGAATGCTTGCAACAGATTTCTTACATCAGCAGTTCCACAAGTCTTCTGCAGACTCCTGCATCAATCACAGCCTGGATTTTATCATTGGGGCCATCAGACARATAGGACAAAGCCCAGCAGGCATCAGCTAATACATCTGTATCATTGACAAAGAGCAGCCAGGAAAGCACACTAAGACAAGGTGAAACCTGTAAGACATTAAGAGGAGATACATAYAATTAAAAGGGCTAGAAGGTCTATTATTATGTCAGTTAATTGTGTATGTCATTATAGGACTAGGCACTGACATCTTAACACTCAATACTCAGAAAATTTCAGAGCTAGGYAGCATTTCTGTGCAGGGCTGTGCTACACAAGCACAGAGGARCAGTTCTGCAGAAWRGCACTACAGAACAATATCTGCCAAYGAAACTCAGGTTTGCCCATKAACATGTGCCATGTGTTGCTCTACAGCAGCCAAAATGTGCAGAGTTTTGTTCTGCTATGGACAGTCATCTCCACTGTACAAACAGCAACAAAGTTAGGAGGCAGCCTTGTTAAAACTGTGCTTTAGTCTTCCCTAAAGGACTAAACAAAAAACTTAATCTGTAAGAAGCCCATTAAATATTTCAGAATTCCTCTGAAACATTATTTCTATTTAGTTCAAAGTTTCACCACCTTAAACTAATAATTTGGCTATCAGCACTTCACAACACATTTTCTTTCAAACATCTCTTACCTTGGCAAAATCAGGAGGAGGATTTTTCCCTCTGCAGAGGTTAGACAGAGCCCATACAGCATTTCGAGTCATGGTGAGACGATTCTGTTTTGAAAGTAATCTAAAACAAACCAACAAAAAATTCCAACCCTTGTTTTTAAAAAATATCAAAGCCAGGCAACCCTGACAACTGCATGAACCATGAAAACAAACTCTTTTTAACAGACACCAGGGCAAAATATGACATGTTTTTGCTATAAAAATAYATYCTGAGGAAAATCATCTTTAATGGCKACTAACACACATATTAGATATAGGAATTGAGTATCCCAACAAGAATAATCATTACAATTGATTAATTGCTTTGACACTGATGTGGCAGATTAACAGTCAAAAGGTGCAGGAATGGTGACAGAATTACTCTAAGAAGGAAGACATACAGGTAGATTTGGAGAGTACTCTCTTTGACATAAAAATGAAGTTTGGCTGTCTCAGGCTGTCAGACCCTCTTTGGCCTAGGTAAACACAGCAAGGCAAGACCCAGTTTTCCCACAAGAGTAATGACTCAGTTTCCTTTTCTCTTAGCCACTCCTGACTATATCAATGTCTTTAGGAGAGCACTGGAGAATACTCCTTTACAAAGGACAGAGTAATGGTCATTTGGACATGACAACACAAGATGGTGTCACTGCTTCAGCAATAACATGGTCCTTAAGCAGATACCATCAGGATAATTAGCAGGAGACAGAAATGACACGCMATGGGATGTCAGTGACCTGGATTTGTTCAGCCTTAGAGACAGTGCAAGAGGAGCTACAATTGCTGCCAAGAACCTTTAACAGGTGGAGACAGAAAATAGGAAGCCAGACCYTTCTCAMAGTGCACAGTGGCAGGACAAGAGGCAGTCAAACGTAAAGCAGAAAATTCTGATAAAGTATCAGAACACTGGGCTTCACTACACCCTGCTCAAATACTGCAACAGGTTACCCCAGGTAGTTACAGAATCTCCTGCTGATGTTCCAAATTTGACTGGTTAAGTMGTTGAGCAATCTAATCTGATCTCACCTGCTATGAAGAAAGGCTTTGACTAGATGACCTCCAAAGGTGCCTTTCAACTTAAATTATTCTGTGACTCTAAAATCAGCCCAGACATCCACCCACACTGTAGAATAAAATAGTTCCAGCTTAGCTGCTTCTAAAACTAACTTCCATTTTAGCTTCATTACAAAAGTAGTTTGGGATTCCCCATTAAAAACTCTGATTAGCCCACAATAAAAAAAAAAAGTATTATTATTCTACAAGGCAAAACCCAAATTTCAGGCTTATCAGACACTCAAGCAAAATTCTGGAAAACATATTTAAACACACTTACTGCAATAAAGGGGGCAAGATATTRCAGTCCAAAACATAGTCTCTGCACATAGTGCTGTCTCCAGCAATGTTGCCAAGAGCCCATACTGCCTGTAATGAAAAACAGAATAATTACTTTTATTCTCAAAATTCTACCAGTTCAATGTATGTATTAGAGTCGGGAGATAATCTGTTCTCACTGTTAGGTCCTGGACAATGCACAGAAAGGGAATGCATTCTGGTTGAGTATTACACATATACACTCGAGCTCATTCTATGATTCAGGAATATTTATGGAGATCTAAGAGCAACACCATAATAGCAAACATGTATGTCTCCAAAAGTGTCTGCAGGCAGACATATCCTTGTTCTTTTCACAATGAAAGAGGTGAGCTCACCTCCTCAGGCTTWGGAACATCCTAATTCTACATTCCTTGTTCACAGCTCATTTAAACCCAGATGTTTGTAGCACAGGTCAAGCAAATCTGTATCTACCCAAAATATTCGTGTGGAACAGCCCATATTAGTATTTACTAAGAAGCCATAAAAGCATGCATTGTTTTACATAGTCATGGATAAAAATGAGAATCTATGTGCAAGATAAACTAATATTCAGAATCTAAGAGTTCAGATGGGCGTTGACATGTATTCTTTAAAATAAAACTATATGAGACAGAACCAGTGCTGCTGATTAAGTTATATCCATGGCAAAATGTAATGGCAGATACTTTCATCCTTGGACATCAGCACTACCCCTAACACTTCATTTTGAGAAGATCAAAAATACCAGAATTAAAGCAGCATGAAATCCATCTTCTGTAATACAATAAGAATAAAATATTTAATTGGTTTTGATTTMTACATTTGGGCCCAGTGGTGTTTTTGATATCACTGTCCACTAATATGAGAGCTATAACTTTAAAAATTACAAGGAGTCTATGCAAAGTAAAAAARCGATTTTATGAATTCCATGCAAATTACAACATTTTGTCACACAAGAAAGCTTATGAAGTTCACATTTACCATTTATTTCAAGTTAGCAGAAGGCTAAGTGTCATATCAAATAGATACATGTRTCTGCTTATTTGGCTTTTAGCTTTACAGATACATGGACCTACACAACCACTGGGAACATTTCCAGTTCTGCATACAGAGGACAAAACAATCCTATTTGTCATGGATAGCAGYTGAATGYCCTCCCCAAATTTCTCTTCTAAAGCTATGTATTTAGCTGCAGTAAAATGTGTAAAGTAGTGCATAACTACTTCTCCAYTTGAACATATTAAGTTCCTCTCACAAAATAAGCAGTTTTTCCCTTTCTCTATACCTATTTGAAATAAATTGCTCCTCTAGAAAAACTGACAGAATTGCCAAATTTTTTATYTAAAGAAAATTGTTGCACAACCTGAAATAAACGCATTTATTAATTTTCAGTATGGTGTTAATTTATTGCATTAGGTTTCTCCTGTAACATATTTTTAAACCGTGTCAAAAAGATGACACTACTTTAAAAAACAGACTCCAACCACTCTAGAGGCCCAAATCCACCAGCAAACCCTGCAAAACGAATACAAGTAAAACCAGAAGTATATACAGAGTGTATGCAGATAGAGATGTCAGCTTGCTAAATACAAAAATAAAAAAACTCCTCCTCCGTACCAGTACTAATGACAAAAGCATAGGATTGGAGCCATSAAACTGCAAGTTGTGAAGAAAGCAGGCGACTGTTCTGGGGAAGGATTAGCTTGTTTTGTTTTCTACTGTTTTTTGCTGTCAGCCACAGTCAGAGGCAGRGCACGAGACTATAGTGACCTCTGCTATCAAACAGCACAGCTGTTCACTACACAATGTTCCCCCAAAACTGATCTTCAGCAGAGTTTTTCATTCTAATTCTTGCTCTTTTTTACAACTTTTGTGACAATAGCTGGTCTAAAATGTATAACCTTGAGACTGGCAGCCTCTTGGACTTAAGGCACAGAAGACAGCTACCAGAAAAAAACCTGCTGCTCACCCCGAAGTTTGCATTTCTGCAGCAAGGAGAAACCTGAGGAATGAACCAACGATTTCAGATCATTCTAAATAAACCTGTGAATCTTCTGAAAACACTTAAGGGGCTGAAAAGGTTAGAATTTGCAATAATTCCCTTTCACTGAACATGTGAGTAATTTTGTACAAAGGCACAATCACCTTGCCTGGACACCCTCACACAGGTGAAAAACAAGGAAACCCTCTTACATTTGTCTGTGGTCTTTGTTTCTGCCATGATAGCAATACCTATTTTTAGGGTTGACAAGAGTGATAATCACTTAATCCAAGAATCCATTCTGACCCTGAATGACTGRCTGGTTTTGCAACAGCAAATCTCACATCAAAAGTCTGACCAGAGAAATCAAGTAACACCTCTGTTGCTTTCTCACTCTTCATTTTTTTATGACCAGATAACACAGGATCTGATAAGAGAAGTTGTTGCAAGAAATCTTTGTAATGCTAATGACTGATAGGATACAAGATACTAATAAATTGAAGTATCTTCAGAAAAATATGCAATGTTTCATTCAATAAGGAAGATGTCTTTCCTTAAGGAATTACTTCAGCTCYTCAGACAAGCAAGGAATGCAAGTCAAGCTCATTTAAACTCTTCTCATCAGACACTGCCATAAATACAAAGCTCTGTCACGGTTTCCACAGACAACACATGAACAATGACAAGTTTCTTCAGGGTTTGTTTGTCTGAATAATGTTCAATGATTTTCATTTCTTCTTTTGTGCACTCCTCAAGATGCAAATACTTGGCACAACGCTTTGGCTTTGTTCTACACAACTTAAATGTTTTCACCTTCTTTCATGGATAGTTACGCAAGTAAAAAGCTTATTAAATCAAAAAAATATTTGACTGAAAAAACAATTCCATTTCAGTACTCTCTACTATCTATATCCAGACTTAAAAATGACAGTAATTTTAACATTTGTAGCCTGGCTTTTTAACCCACATCTTAGGTAGAAAGTTGTGTGCAAACTTAAAGCACAAATGCTAACTTGTTAATTGACAGTACCTATTTTTATACAYTTGCATAAATGTCCATTTATTGCTAACAGTGGAGTAGGATTTTCTGCAGATCTTCAGTTTATTTTACTCATCACTGAACTCCAGAGTTTTTTCCTGCAGTGCTGGAAAACTTTGGTAGTGAGTAAAAGTAAAGTGCAAGTCTTGTAGAGTGCTGTTGAACCATATGGTGCCTTCTGTGAATAATCCATGTGCTTTTTGCCAACTCTCCACTTTCCTCTGGATTCTGAAGACTCTCAGCYATTATTTCTTTGGATATTTAAACTAAGTGCTTAAACAAATCAACAGTGTACAGATTTTGTGCCTCTCAGGGGAGAAGAAATATTAGAAAGAATCAACACTTTCTGGACATTTGGATGCTGACCTGGAAAAGGATTTAATGCTGGGATGGATGAAGATGGTGAAGATTAGTTTGCATACAATGTGATTGGGTAAGTAAACACAAGGAAAAATACTAAAAGGAGATGACTGTTACTATGTCCTAACATAGAAAACAGCTTTCTTTCTGTGCCTGGGGTGGTCATATTTCCTTCTTCTCACATCTCATCAGCCAAACAGAGAAAGCAACTCATCCTCACACCTTGACTGTTTGTCCTGATTTTTATTACAAAGAACATGTTAATAGGACTACCAATGTAAAAGCCAAACAGAGCCTGGACAGCAGACTCACAAATTAATTATGCCAAGCAAGTGATGGTTACCAAAAGGAATAGCAAAACAACTAGAAATGAAAAAATAACGATGGAAAAACATAGTGTTTGCCCCAGCTGAAAATGCAAACTTTGCCAAAGAAGAACAGGGCAGCTGGGGATGCTCATGCCACTGGCTATGCAGCAGAGCACAATGACATGTATCTGTCACTGTGAGACAATCTCAACCCTCYTCAACAGGCAGCACAATGCCTTGCATGGTTTTTGAATGTTCATCAAGGAAACCCAAACTGACATCTGGGTTTTAAGTACTGGAGCAGGAGAAGTCAGGAAAGAACTGCAGCTAAGACATTGCTGAAGTCACATCAACCTTAAGCATGTCTAAAGGGTTTGATAGAGACTTTCAATATAAATAATTTCAGGCAGGCAGGTCAAAATTTCTAGATGTCTTTTGGAAGAAAAAAAAAWTTGATAAATGGAAAAGGGATAYGACATATGCCACTGACTAAACCTAAAAATCAGCACACCTGAAACAGAAATGGGGAGAGGCAGGGAGATGTAGCCAGTGTTTTTTCATAAATAATGCAGATGTAGACTGTGTGATAAATAAAATTTCCCTGATGGAAAAAATGGATGCCAAATGTTTTGACCACTGTCCACAGAGGAAGACTGACACACAATGCAAGTAATGAAAGAGTTAAAGGACAATAGGCTAATTAAATGAGGCCTTCATAGCTTAATGGGAAATAGATCTTGTAAAAAGACACAAGGTATCATCTCATTAACATACATCTTGTTTATTAAACATAGCTATAAAGATTCCCTCACAGACTCCTACAAAACAGCTAATTTAGAATCTTCACAAGACTCAGAATGCACAAAGGAAATGAAGAGCCTCCTGTTAGACTAAAATTGACTTATAAATATGAAAAATACATGTTGGGAAAATTGTGATCAGAAGATAAAGTAAATTGGTATGTRTTCCTGAGCCACTACTAAGGGAAGTTAGAAATAAAAGACAAAGTAAACATGTACATCTTTTAAGACTCACTTACTGTAAAACCAAAACAGTGGATAATGACTAGCCAGTAAGTAAAACGTTATACATAATACATATTTTTTTGTTTATGCTATGCTTCATATTCAAAATTGTATTATCACCTAGCATTTCCTTCTATAGGATTGCTATCCCAATTAGAACAAAGAATGACTTCCTAAACACAGCCTTCAATAATTCTTTTTCTCTTCCTCCTTTACTATATGATTAAAGGGTTAGCCTCTGGCCTCTCTGCCTGGAACACATCATTATATTTTCTGTATTTTCCTGTATTTTTGTTACTTGTTGCAAATGTTTGTACTACTGTGAGACACAACTAGAGTGATCACTTTACAGGGGAGAAAATTGTAGCCAAGTATCCCYCAGTTTCAGAAATCCAGCTTGAGAAGCCCAGGATCAGACGTGCTCAAAACACATGCCTAACTATAAAAATCACTGCTGAGCTGTCATGTCAAAATGAAAAAGAAATATTTCACTTTGAGCATTTAAAAACCACAGAATAAGTATCCATTTACTGAAAACTGCTAGAAGGAAATTGTCCAGCATCAGACACTAAGCAGTAGAAAAAACATTTTTCTCACAAACCTACAATCGGCYTAATTGTAAGAATTTCTTCCCTATTCTTCTCCATGCACTACAATTTGATCCAACTTTAACAAACAGGGTCACAGTGTGACAAATAAAAGCCTCCTTTACTACCCACTCATCCGTTCCCAGGGCAACAATCTGTGCATATACTGAATGAGACAAGAGTCATCTGGAAAAATACRCAATTGCATAGTACTACTGCTATCCTGTTATACAGAACTACAAGAGCTAACTTCTCAGTGCTTATATGCTTTTCATTTTTGTTTCAGATGATACTATGGTGAAGTATATGGCTTGGGGCTTTATAAAGCTGTTGGGAAAAAAGCAGAATTCCTTTTATGCTGGCCTGTATTAAACCCCAAGTTAGCTGTGAGCAATCTCCAGAGCTGCAGCACAGAAACACACTATGAATAAACAGTGTAGGCAACACTTTGCAGTTGCACATTCTCCTTCTTCAGCACAGCTTACTACAGAGCAATTTGTAACTGGTATTAGAGATTACCAGTAAGACAGTGATGGTGAATTTAGCAGCACCTGAACTGCAGGGAAAAATATTYTCCTGTAATGACAACCAAGGCTCTCTGCCTGCCTGCAATGTGAACTTTAACATGTCAGCAGTTTATCAGGAGGCAGGGAGGGGGGAAGGAGTCACATAAACTACTTAACTGTGCCCRTAAGCTCTTCTGTTAATTCATCCATTCTAAGATCAAAGGCTGCACAACTTCATCTAAACAGGTTTGCTCTTCCCACCTGCTCCAGAGCACCAATCATTTGCAGGAACAGCACTCTTTGAGTGATGGCTGAATTTGGAAAATAATGCCACTAAGTTCAACCCCCAAAATACAAAATCTAAAAAGGCATCATACAGCTAAGTCTGGATGGACTTTTCATAGCATTTATCTGCCATTTAGGCAAGTTCCCATCACATTTCTAATTTCTGCAACAACAGCATACTCAATTCCTCAATGCTAAAATAATGGACAAAAAACACCTATCTTTTGAAACACCTGAATTCCACTCCTCTTTAAAATCCTTCTCAACAATAATTCAGTCTCAGACAGAACACTGAAAATGGAAAGATACAAAGAGGAGTAATTTGAACACTAAAAAGAACTGAGAAAAAAAATCTGTCTTGTGGAAAATGTTAGGCAGCCTTAAGTAGAGGTGGTACATTTTGAGCCAGCTAYAAGAAAGAAAGGCAAGTTACACAAAGCAGKCCWATGTTTATSAGTTGGGACTCCTCCAATCATGCATCTCAACACAGCCAAATGCAAGATCAGACATCTAGGAACACAGAAAGAGGTCACACTYACAGGATGGAGAACTGAACCCTGGAAGTCAGTGACTCTGAAAAGAACAATGGATCATATTGGATAAKCAGCTTAACCTGAGCTCACAGCCACTGCTGGGGCAAGGAGTCCACAAAGACACTGGAGATTTACACACCAAAGTATGGAGCAGCAGTGAAAATGAGGTACTATCTCTGCAAACAACAGTGCTGAAAGAGTGCTACTGGAATACACACTGCTYGTCATTTCACCACCACAAAAAGATACTGAAACTAAGAAATGGTCAGAATAAGGTCGCCAAAAAAAAAAACCAACCACCAATTCTCAAAATGAGAATTCAGTGCTATATTTCATTTACTCAAGTAAAGCTTAAGCTATGGTCTGCAAGTAGCTATAGGAAAAAAACAAATAACTTACTAATGGAGTAGAGAATGTGACAAAAGCAATACCTGGACTCAAAGCTAGTCAAATCTACACAGTAAAGGTACATATTTTCAAGTTAGGACTAAGACCAGCTGAAACTAAATTTGTCAACATCATTAATATTTCATCACTCTAAGTCTTCAAAGCAAGATTATTTGTCTGAAGTACATCCTTGTTCAAACATAAGTTATAGACCTCAAGTGGAAACTCCTGAATCAAATGTTTGGTCTGTGCTTTATTCTGATCCCTGTAGGCCTYGGAGAATATTCATCTGTGCTGTAAGGAATCTGGAGAACAATCTGTATTTTCCACGCATGCTTTTTCTTCAGAAGAAACAGGCATGAAGTTTATATATCTAAAGTAGTTAGATTCAAACAAAGCTCCCTGTTAGAAATATATTGTTAGAGAACAAAATGGATTACYCCATTAGCTAAGGTTAAATACATAATTTCCAAAAGGGAAAAATACAATACATGCTTAGGTAACTTAACACATACTWAGCAGAAAGCAACTGCTGTGAAAAATTGCCAAATACCACATTTTCTCTRAAGGCTTTCTTACAGGATAGCCTTGCTCCCTTCCAGAGAAGGGAAAAAAAGGAACAAAACACCAAATAAACAAAACAAACAACAAAAYGTCAAACAAAGAAGCCTCCAGCTCCACAAGTTAACACACACATACACTCATACACACAAAATTCAACCCTGTTGTCAATCTTTACCTGTTCCTGTACATCTTCAAACTCTGAACTAAGCAGCTCTATGAAGATGGGCACAGCTCCTGCCTGGATCACTATTCGAGTCTGAAGGGAGTTTCCCGAGGCAATRTTTGTCAGCACCCACGCAGCTTCAAACTGAAAAACAAATACAAGACAGTTTACCAGGAGCTTTCTACACCACACTAAACATGAGGACTACATGTTTTTTACATCAGAGAGATTGGGCAGATTTGGCATAGGAAAAGCATGAAATACTACTAATTAACAAACAATTTGCAGATAACCAGAATCATATATTTAAGTTACCATTATCACTTGAAATAAAGATCTGCAGAAGTTCCTTATGAGAACATCAGGTCTGCTGTGGGTTTTTAAATATTTTTTTTTGCTATGCATTTATGTAACCTTTGCCTTTCTTACTGGCTAAGAACCTGTACACAAAACATGTGCTGTTCTTTTTCAAGATTCCTCTCTCCACATTAGAAAAATGTACTCGGTCATGTATGCTTAAATGAACCTGGAGAACAGGGGAGCTTTWTTAAGTCTTGAATTCATCTTGAGTAAAAACAGGATAGAGGAATTCCTGACAAATTAGGTGGTCCTCTCACTGATCTCAGAGGCCTAGGTTTTACAGGGTATTTCATTGACAACACAGAAGAAAAAGAGATCATAAATCCCCATAAAGTTCCAAGTTCATTAACATGAAAATTGCCATATTCAATCCACCATACAAGCAGCTATAAATTACACTTCACATGTCTCAGAATGARTTGAAAATCTTTTCCTTCTACAGCTAAGCTATAGTTAGAAATGCCTAGAATGCTAAGCTCAAAGGAATACTTTTGGAAACAATTACAGAGCAAATACAAATATTAAAAAGTGAGRTCTAGAGAACTTCCCAACTGATCAAAAAGTTCTACCTGCAGACCCTAAACTGCCAAGAAGGCAGAGAGATTTGGCAAGATGGAGAAAAATTACCCAGGTAGAATGGAATATCAAGAGCAACACACTGAAGCTTGTACTTTCACTGCTTTCCTACAAACTCTTTAGGACAAGCTTGCAAGCTTCCACTCTGAATGATTTTTCCTATTTCCATGTAAAAATCAATACATGTTATACCAGTAAGGCCACAAGAATTGCTTCCATTTATCTGTCTATGTTATGTTTCTATGCAAGACCCCTGTAAGTTTTTTTACATCAGATAGCTTACAAATTTTCCACTGCARTTGCAAACCAACCAGCTTAAAGCTGATACATATTCTTAGTTACTGTCCACAGACTCCTCAAAGGAAGCTAACAGATGCTGCAATTCTGTGGATAACAATTTGACAACTAATACCCATAAACAGATTTCTCTAATGTGTCAGAAAACTGTATTTTTTTTGCATATTTCCAGTCAACAAAATTTGGATTTCATATGGCATTCACAAACCTGTTGCCTTMTGCATTTTGAAAGAACACTAATTCTAATCTAATTGGATTTAATAATCTAARTGTTGTATTTAATGGTTACATGTTAACATATTTTCCTCTTAACTAGATAATTTGTTTTCTTTCACTTTCTATTAGTCAAGAAAGTCTGACCAGAAAAATGGAAATGAGACAAAGGTCCAAGAAAAATTAACCACCACTGTAGCACACTTAATTCAGTTTTTACAAATCACAGTAAGGTTTTCAGCTTTCTATTACTATTATTTACTTTCTATTATGTTTCTATTATATACTATTTATTATTCTATATTGTTTATCATTACAGATTTTATTTCTAATTCCAATCTTTTTTTACTTCAAACAAAGATTTAAATCCTAATTCTAAAGACTTAAAACTGTTTTCCATTAGCACAAAAAAAGACAAACATTGAAGTTTGTTGAGTAGCTTTTCATCTGTTGAGTTCCAAATTTCAAGTTCTGYTTTTGTTAAAAGTCTGGAGATCCCATCCTATCAATCACTCAATGCATGTTGGACAACTGTCTCTCTCTCCTGCCCTGTACCTGGAGGTCTTGCCAGAAATTCTGAAGATAAAATAGCTTTTTTAACATAGTGAAGAAAGAGCAGAAGTATTGCTGAACAAATCACTGATTTTTTTCCTACCTACTTTACATCATCAAATGCCTTCCTAAACTAGCAAAGAGACACATTTACATTTTGATACCTGTAATGTACAGTTTTCTTTTCTCTTCAGAAACTCCACAAACCTGGCCACCACTCCTTGTGTGCTTATGACTTCATCTATCGGAGGATTTGGTTCTGTTTAAAAYACAAAAGTAAGGTTAGATACATTCATTTCTTTGGAAGGAAATTCTCTAATTACTRCATCAAAACAATATCCAGTGACATCCTGACTGCTCATTTCTTAGCGTGTGCTCTTTTTCTACAGTACTTCACTAAATGTAAAGGCAAAGAATGCCTATCTGTCAACATAAGAATACTCCAGGCTGAGTTTTGAGATAACAAGATAACACAATTAAAGCACTGAGGCACTCAGTACTTTGGGAAGGCTGATTTCACAGCAGCAGCTCTGTGCAGTCACTCTGCATGAAAAGGAACTTTGCTATATCAGAGTTTTCGAGCCACAGAGACACTGCCTCCAGCATTTCAACTTACACCCAAGAGGAGATCTCACATCTGCAACACTTAGTACAGATTTCAAGAAAAGAAGTGACTATTACATGTATCAGGTTGACACTTTGTAAAGCAGAGCTTGACCCAGAAATTTCAGTGTGAAACTCAATTTTTATTGCTGTCAAAGTAAAACCATATGCCAGGGAGGCTTCTACATTTTTCTGTAAGTAATTTCAGCCCTTACCTTTAGAAAGCAGCTTTCTGAACTTCTGGGTGGCTGAGAGCTGCTGTTCTGGACTATTGGAGAAAATCATCTCAATCATATCAGAGGTGATGACTGCACTCTGGGATTTAGGTGGGGAAACAGAATGAGGTTGATAAAGAGCAAAAAGGGGAAAAAAGCTGGGATTAGTRATAAACAGGTTACATTTGCTAAACCAGTACAAAGTTTAATTCTTACTGRATAAAAACTTAGGGAAAACCATTATGAACAACAAAGGAATCATTATACATATGGCAGCATCATTCTTAAGCACAACTTTGCTTCACTGGAAGTCAAAATTAAAATTTGCCTCAAGATATGGCAAGAAAATTACTCTTCAAAATTTTTCACTTGTATTCTCTCCMTTCCTCTAAAAAATGTAAAATTGTCAGCTTCAACAAAAAGTAGTTACATTATCATTTAGATTGCTCTAACACATACATTTTGACTTAACTCTCTTACACCAAAATGCATAGAACCTGTCATTTCTAGAAAAGCCAAACAACCTAATGCTTGTTATCATCATCATCAAGCAGGAGTATTAAATTTTCAACAAAACTGATGGCTTCCAATAATACTTCCAATAAATTAAATCAGCAACCTTTCTTATGCTAGGCAAAATCTGACTTTCTGTTCACCACACATGTAAGGAAGCATAAGAAAAGCCCGATTTTTTTCTTCCACTTCTAATCTAAACCCTCAGACACATCTGATCCCAACCCTTAGACAGACAGGGAGACAGATGACAGTGCTGAAAATACTTAAACATTGCCTGTAACAGCCAACAGCTCCAACTGCTAAGAGCCTGAAATTAATGGCATTTAACACAGCAAACTATGTAATGACAGTATCTATCATTTAGGCAAAATCCTTTCCTTACTTTTTACTGTTTCATATAAGCTTCCACACAAATAATTAATGGTATTTAGGACTTGTCTGATATTTGAATACTATCTTGAAGAGTAAAACCATCTATTCTATTCTTGATCTACCACACTGTTCATAAGCATTTCTGTTTCTCAGTAATTTTCAAGGCTCATATAATCAATAATAGCTCAGCCTGATTTCTGTGGAAACATGATTTGCATACTCTGAACACAGACACTGAAGATCAGTAATACTTAAAGTGAGAAATGCACTTTCCTTAAACTTTTCTGTTATAGAACTGAAACCCTTCCCATTTTTCTTTCCAGGGAGAAAGCAAAAAATGTCTAAATCCCTCTTAAAGGTTTTTTCTGTAGTATTAAATTCTAGCATGGAAAGGAGTTCAAGGCCTCATGCAGACAGTTAAGCATGGTCTGGTTGGGTTTCCAACACTTTGGTTAAAATGGTGTCATTTGAAAGTCTGCTAAGAAAGACTTCCACTGAGCCCCCTTTTTAACTTTGTAAATTGCCATAACACACTGCCTGATTTGTCTTTTCATGTTTAAAGCATTATGAATTTCAGATTAAAAAAAAAAAAAGAAAAAGAAAAAAAAACAACAACTCCAGGCAGCAGCAGCAGAATAACCCATAATGGTGAACATCAAATCCAGGACATGATCAGCCTCCCAGAACAATGACATTTTATTTACTTTTCCTGAGCACATATTCTCTGAAAAAACCACTCACTATATCCCTAACATTTTTCTCTCATGTAATCTGTTTCAGGGAAATGAGTTGAGACAGGTGTTTCAGTTGTCCATAAGATCTCTGAATGGGTTCTTCATATTATTCTGAAATTTCATTCCTGCACAACAGACCTACCCAGCCTCAAAGAAAGAAGAAGAAGAAACATTGTATTTATTTCTCATCACTTACAGAAGTCATCTCCATGTTGTTCATCTGAGCCTCATGGAAGCCCCCATCTGACATCACTTCCTCCTCCGCTTCTTCCTCAGCCGTTGCAACATTTCGGCGTTTGAACAACTATAGAGAGAGTATTTAAAAGATATATGTATAATATATATATTACTTAGCCAATATATCCACAACATGTTGTGTTAGGCTATMATAAAAATTCCATATGCTATAACCTGAGAGAAGGTAGCACACTGGCTACAGGATTTCAGCTGACAGCACACGGAGAAAGTTTAGCCACGGAGTAAATGAAAACAGCAATAAGCTGCAATATTGGTTCCTAACATTTCTGGAAAACGTTCACTAATAACCCCTTCCCCTCTTCAGCATCTGCTTCCATCTCAAAGCTGTTTAACTTCCAGACCAATGTTTTCTTGCAGAGGTGCTAGGGTTCAAAGACCTGATAAATTCCTGTGTATTACACATCTTCACTGAACATCTGGAGAGGCTCTGACAATCAAATCACAGAGGCAAAGARAGGGCTTTGGATGATGATCATGCATAGGATATTATACTGGTATGAGCAGAATTTGGGTGCTGTGACTTAGAGAAGGTACCCAGTTTGAGATGTGCTGGTCAGACAGTTTTGTTCAAAGCCTCAGCCTGCTCTGGTCAATGTTACACTTGAGTGAATGAGGGACACTCACACTGTGTCTTGTAGAGCCTGCAGGAGAGGCAGTCAAGTCTGCAATGATTTGSATTTCAGACTGACTTTGTGTGAATTTGGAGGCCAGAACAATTAAAAGGGGCTTGGGAGAGGCAGAGAGGCAGAGACTGCAAGACAGGAYTGTTTATGAACTGCTCACAGATATCTCAACTGCTGTGTGTTACCTGCTCCTCTCTCTTTTGCTTCCGTAACTGCAGACCTTCTTCCTCCCGCCTGCGACGCATCTCATCAGGGTTTAGAGATTTGTTCTTGTAGCTCTTCAGTCGGAAATTCTCTTTTCCTGAGGTCGTCATGATTCCTTCACAACACAATTTTAAAAAAAGAAGACAACATTACTCTTCAACATCATTTCATATTCTGTGTCCACTCCATAACTGTAGCCATGATCTTCCAGTCACAGCCCCATTACATTCCATCACCTAACTTCCAATAAAACTTAGAAGGTGGAAAGCAAAACTTCACATAATTGTCAYTTTGGTGTATCAGTTCTTCACATCAGTACAACAAACTTTTATTTTAATTTTTGATGCTTCAGAGAGTAAGTCAAATATTTTATTTAGAAAGGACTAAGGTCTATAATGCAGAGTATGTAGTCTGGGCTAAAAAGAAAAACTGCATTAAAAAATTTTTACATTTCTCCCCACAGAGAATTAGCCAAATTACATACTCCTGTCTTTACACAGAAGTGAAGGTGTCTTAGCTGCACTTCAATTTAATTTACTTTGCATGTCAGTACAGGGGCTTTTTTTTGCACTTCATATCCATGTTTTAAGTTAATTCAACACAAGCCTGTTGAAGAAATCCTGTGTTCTTTCTATCCAGACAATGCCCGCGAGGAAATTGAAATGAAAAATTTTAGGTGAGGATGGTTTAACCAATGAAAATGCTCAGTCCTGCAAAGAAAGCAGTGCTATTGTTCCACTCCTCCCCACACCCAGTCCCTAATCCTGCCACTGTTTAYACAGAGGGGCCTTTTTTCAGTCTGTGATTTCCAAGCACCATCTGTCTTACGTAACTCAGTGGGTCAGCATTTCCAGCTGCACATGATGATTTTCACACGTACAACACCACACTCTGGAGTTACTCAGTATAAAGCAGCAGGTAGAGAACTGAGTGGAAAAACTCATTCCCCTGAAATCAATGGCTGTGGATTGTGTCTCTAAATGCTCCATTCTGCTGCTATTTCTCTCCTTATATTACCCCTTGAAACCCAAARGAGGGTGGGATTCACATTCTTAACATGCCAGTGTTTTCATGCATCTTCATAGAGAYGCAGAATCTCCAATATATTGTAAATCCAGTAACACAAAATTTAAGAAGCTGCAGTATATAAAAAGTTACTCTACAGGACTTTCAAAGCTCTCTTTCAGAGGCTTTAATGCATAGTATTAAATAGGCTACCTACATCAAATTCCGTAAGATCAGAATCATGAGATGATAAATGATCTCCTGTGCACTTTTTACTTTAAAATGGAGCAACATGAGTCTATAGACTCTCAACAGCTTAGTTTTCCTATTTAAAATATATCCAATGTATAACTGAGTTTACTCTACTCTTCTTTCAGAGTACACAAAAAAAAAGGATACTCAAATGTGCCTCTTGTTAGAGCCTCTTTTTAAGTTGCTGCTACCTGATAACTATTTATTGCAATTTGACGATCAGAACTGACTTTCACAGAAAACATTATGGACAGCATTTCAAGTGTTATTTCTGACAACTGAGATTTTAAAAACTGTTCAGCGACACGACACTACTATATTTRCTGTCAGTCAGTTACAGTTTGCACTGAATGTAACATAAAAACCTAAGCATATAGGTAAGCAATTCAGCAGCCTAATTTTACTGAAAAGGCTCTCCTGAAATGACCTTTTTAAAATGAAAGGTTCAGCAAAAAGATAAATCTCACAGCACCAAAAGCTCCCTACATTTTTCTTACCGGCTTTGAGACCCCTTTCTTCCTGTGTTTACGTGTTGGAACTTCAAGTGTTAGTGTTTCTTACAACATGTTTGGCAATTAAATGTTCTTCACATTTTTAGTTTAAGTGACTACTACCTGTATATTAAACACACATACTATTCGGAAAAGCCTGGGATTTAAACTGTAAAAAGAAGTCAAGTCAACAAATACTCAGAATTTCTTTCATTCCTAAAATATTTYGGACAAAGTATTCCATATAGTTTAGAATAACCAGGTAGATAATTATGAGCTAGACAGACATTCCTAACAAGGAAATTGCTTTGCAGACACTCTGGACATTCTAACCCTGACCATGAACAAACACAGGCATACACTACAGCCCAGATAACATCTCAAACCTTCCATCATGTTATTAATAATTCTCCAGTTTTGCCTGAAGTCTRTCTTCTCCAACTCATAAGACTGTAYYTGCCTTTATTTGGGATTTCAGGACTTTCATAATTCCTTGGATAAACTCCTGTGGTCGTTTCACACTTTCACTTTCAGTCTCTACAAGTTCTTAATTTAAATGAATTCTTGACAGGGAACATCTTCACCTCTTAATACTGGATTTCATCTAATTTCTATTATGTAGCCTCTCCACGTAATGTTCCAATGTTTTTAAACATCAATGACACTACCAATTTCACTGTAAATAAGTTGAAGTTTCCTTAAGTGAATTGAAAGTTTCCTTAAGTGTACTCTTCCTTACTGCAGTTATTAAACTAGTTTCCCCTCATCTTGGAACTTGAGTATTGATTTTCTTTCAATTAATTYGGCTTCTGTCTTTAAGGTAATAATTTCCATTTTCCTTTCAGAGTTCCAYTAGCCCCTCCTGTTGTGCTTTATGTCATCGTTTCATTTATTGAAAACACAGGTACAGGATTTACTTGAATTCTTTCTCCGACTTTACTGCAACCCCTCTACCCAAGAGTTTCACAAGAATCATCTTCTATTTCTTCCACCCTCTACCAGCCTTAGCTGCAAGTTTTGACTGTGCTCATTTCTGACTTTCAAGACAGCGCACTTYGCTGACTAACCCCTTCCTCCATTTCATGAGTAAACTGTAACTTAAAATCCTTTCAAAATAGTATATTGGCTTTTACGTGGGAATACGAACACCTACTACCAAATGACTGGGAAGACAGTTTCTTTCATTAAAGGTGAAAAGATTAAACTCCCTTCATCACTGAGAAGTTACCAATTCAATTAGTGATGGGTTCAATAATTCATTTTATAGTAGGTCCTCACTGGTAGTAAATAAAATCCCAGCATATAGCCACATATCTAGTTTAAGAACCTGTGTGTCTAACCTGTGTAAGTGTTAAACCCATAATGATTTCCTAAAAGTAGTTCTTACATCTTGAATGTATGTTAAAATCAACTCTTTCTTTACCATTCTTATACAGATTTCCTGACAACTRGTGAAAATTTCAATGAGTGCATCAAGGATTCCATCCAGCCCACACATACTGCCAGCATCTTTGGACCTATTCAAATGTGTGAGCACACAATGGCTTTTTAGGACTAAAAATATAACAACTCTATGTTAGTTGTTACAGTCATCCAAGGATTGTTTGCTAGAAATCTCCTCCTCCATTTTCGAGGATATAGTTTTTTCCCCAGACTAAACCACAAAAGTAGAACAATTTCAAATTGTCTCACTGGTCTTCAGCAGCTTTGTTGTGACTTAGCTGAAAATCTTTCAATGGTCACTTCAAGTTCACCCATGCAGCAAATARCAAACCCTGGATCTTCTCTGCATTGTCAAAATTAACACTACTCCTGGAGAAAATCTGTGGTGGTTGTCATGGAAATGTTCTACTCATCTTTTCTTTCCTAAAGATAGCAGAGTATTGTCCACATTTTTTGATACTCCTACAGATAAAAACCTCTGGAGACCTGGTAAGGAATTTTCATGGTCTATTGCTTGGGCTTTTGTGCMACACCACTCAAACCCTTCATGACAGTCTCTTCCTCAGTCTGCCTGCCATAAAAATTKTACCAAAATTAAACTCACTAACTACTCCTGAATGTCTGCATTTCCCTAAGGAAAACATGATCCCCGATTTTTTTGCTGATTAAGACAAGAGCCCTACCAAATGTGGATGTGCTCTAAGCACACCTTCCTAGGGGAAATAAAAAGGACTGTGTTTCTCCTTGCTCAATGAGTTAAAGAAACTCTGAAGAACTGAGAAATTCAGAGTCACTTACTGCCATGACCTACCTTGTCCCAAACAATCATCYAGATAGGAACAAAAATGAACTCCCTGCCTTCTTAAATCAGCTATCACTGTCACTAGACTTAAGGGCTTTGCCAGAAGGAATACCATGTGACTAATACTCTTGGATATTCCACACGTCAGAGGTACCAAGATGTAAAAATAAAGCCCTTACAAATCAAGAGCTGCATAGTGATACATACATACTCACTATTTTTTACACATGTAAGAGCYTATATGTACCATGTATAACTGAAACTAAGATTAACAAATACACTGCTGATATTAAAAATYGTTGGAGACAGACTTTCCTTTTTTGGAAGTAAAGGGAGAAATAACAGAAAAAAAAYCTTTTCAGAAGTGTTGATCTATACATGACATTCTATTACAATGGGAATAAATCAAAAGGAGAGGACTTGAAAATGAARGCAGAAAAAAAATTTGAAGAGAAATAGTGTGATAAAAAATTATCAAAATATCCATGATTTGCCCCACTATCAGACCACATTTCCTAACTAATAGAGGCAGTTGTCAGAAGGAAAGGACTCACTGGAGGCAGACTTGGGAGCTCTGTTGTGCTGTCAAACTGCTGTCCCTCCTTTAGATTAGTGCCAGAGAGACACGGAAAAGATAMAAGAGGCACTGTCAGCCTGGAAAGGACAATTTGTGTTAGAAATGSCACTGTCAAGATGGAACTCCAAGCAGTGAGAGAAGCTATTTAAGRGAAGAAATGCACAAAATCTTTTGTTTCAAGGAGATTTTAGTTTGTTTACTGACTCTGCTGCGAGATTTGAGATGTCCTAGTGAGGAAGTTTCCTCTCAATCATGCTTCTTGACATCAAGCCAAATACCTACAGCCTGGACAGATGTTTGAGCAATTCTCTGAGCTCTGATTACAGGATACATCACCTTCTGACACGCTTCAGTGTGAGCCCAGCAAACCCATCCAATTGAAAAAGCCAACTGAAAACAGCATTTAGTCATTCGTTGCTCCTATCAATACACTCTCAAAAAAAATCAACATTTTGGATGCAAATGTGTTTGGGTTTTTTCACTCAGAAGTATAGATTTTGGAAAATCCTTCTAATTTGCTTTTTGGTAATTCAAAGGCAACAAGTCAGGATGCT